CTAAGTCGAAGTCGATTATTCTAATTTGTAAGAATTGTAAACTTTCTTGAGTCGTTCAACTGTTTAATCGTATTAACAGTCTAATGGTGTTCTCAAGCAATTCCCTCAATGTGATTTAGAAGTAGACCTAAAAGAGTTATATTTAGGAACTCAGTTTGAAATGGACATTTCCAAACAAGTAATTTGCTCACATTGTAGGGGCAGTGGTGCTAAAAGTGATGAAGATGTCATAACATGTGATGCTTGTGGTGGGCGAGGTGTTAAAGTAGTTAAACAGATGCTTGGACCCGGAATATTTCAACAATTCCATTCCACGTGAGTAACTAAATTATTTTATTATATTAATATTTCGAATGAATATTAATTATTATGTATTTTAAAGGTGTGATTCATGTGGTGGAAAAGGTAAAATTGTAAAGTCTAAATGTCCCGCCTGCGATGGTAAGAAGGTTTTACGCGCAAACGAACAATTAACTGTTGTCATAGATCGAGGGATGAAAGATGGTAACACCGTGGTAAGTTACTATCCGTCAATTTTTTTTATTAGATTACAAAAATTTTTAACGTGTATTATTTGAAACTATATTATTACAGGTTTTCGAGAAAGAAAGTGATGAGGCACCTGATACGATACCTGGGGATATTATATTTAAAATAAAAACCCTTCCACATTCAATATTTAAAAGAAATGGTGATAATTTATATAAAAAGGAAATTATAACGTTAATTGACGTAAGTATTTAATATGATTTTTTTTTTTCTCTCTCCTTGCCCTCACTGACGTTAGAAACAAATCCAGGCACTTACTGGTTTTGAAAGGAATTTCACACATCTTGATGGCAGAACTGTCACAATAAAACGTGATACAGTGACACAACCAAATTATGTTCAAGTTATTAAGAATGAGGGTATGCCTATGCATCGATCACAACTTAAAGGTGACTTATATGTAGAATACACTGTAGTATTTCCTTCAGTCATTGATGATGCAACAAAAGAAGGTAAGAAAGAATTCGACCATTATCAATTTTTAATGCATTTATTAATATTATCATCATTATTCATCATTGTATATATTTTTAGGTTTAAAGAAACTTTTCCCTAATAATGGCGATCTGTTACAAGGGTCTGATCATGACGAATTATAGTATGAATAAGCGATAATGTTAGTAAGTACGCGCATATATATACGAATCATTTACTTTATTCCGATCAATCATTATCATCATCAGATTTTACACCATAATTACGATCATACACTCTTCCTTAGCTTACTAGCTCACATTTTTTTTGGGGACAATTTGAACATTTGCACACTTTATTTATATTGACAGATTATAATGTCACGTAATTATTAATAGCAATGTCTAATGACACGGAGTTTAAACTTTTATTTATAATAATGACCTTTTTGATAGAAATGTAATTTTTTTGCATAGATCCGTAGAATTATTTGGAATATTTACAATTACATGTTATCAATGTGTTTATATTAGATTTACGATATCTAATTTTGTTCAAATATAAATTCATTGAATTCCATCATCTGTGATGATATGAACAATTTTGTCAATAATAGTTTACAAAAATATATTTAAAAAAAAAACTTATTTAAAAAGAAAAAAAAGTTAATAAACCTTTAATTTTTTTACTTGTTACAATTTAATTTAATATTATCTGTTATTCCAAATCCGAGTTGGAATTAATAGTATTTGGTTACCGTTAAATAGACTTTTGCCAATTATAACCGGGGTCGGAGTAGAATTAACCAATCAAATCACGAATTTCTAATTGTTTCAATATTAATTATCCTTTAAACCGTTTTTTAGACAAATTTGCCTGAATAGAAAGTTTTTATAAATATTAATATAATTTAATAAAATATTAATAATATAAGGTTTATATTATATATAGAATATATTATTAAAAACATATTTTATAAACTTTATTAGGAAATTTTCTTATTTTTACAAAGTAATTTTTGAATAATGAATTTTTAAAGTTTATATTAAAGAAGTTTTTATATTTAATTTTTTTTAAATTTTTTAAAATTTTATATGTTTTTAAAATTAAAAAAATTTTTTAACTCTAAGACAAGTTTAAATTTTTACAATTAAATTACAAAAATTGTAATAATAAAAATTGTTTTTTTTGATAAATTCTATGTAATTCTAATTTTAAAAAAAGCAGATAGTTAATAATTAATAAGTTTATCAAGAATAAGTAATAAAATTTTTTGAATAAAAAATTTCTTAAAAGTTATATAACTTTAGTATATAGATAACTTATATTTTTTTTCTTATTATTACAAATATATAGTCTTCTTAATACAATACAAGTAATATAAGACACAGAAGAGAAACTCTTAATAGTGTCTAAGTAGCATATTATTTTACTATAGCAGTTTGTTACAAAGTTATAAAAAAAACAAAGATTATATTTTATTTATAATACAATATTAAGAATATAAGACTATTTATTAGTTTTTATACTAAAAGAATTCTAATATTAAGAAAATTATAGAAGACAAACCTAATTTAAGGCAAAAAAAAAAGGTAGTATTTATATAGCTTTTTACAATTAGAAGTAAGAACTGTAAGAATAGTAAGAATATTTTTTTTTTTATTTTTATTTTTTTTTTTTTACTTTATACAAATACCATCAGCTGAATTTTATTAATATAAATAGTAAGAAATCTTACATATTGTGAGAGTACAACTAGCCACATGTACAACTTTAGATTGTCTAATTTAAGTAGTTCGCCTGAAGGTTCTACACTAGCTGCTATATCTGAAATCTGTTTGAAGATTCTCTATTTAAACTCTCTGGTTATATGCTAATTCTAATCTGCTATTTTTATTGTAATTTGTCTAATCCTGTACTACTCCCATTTTGGAAGACATCAACAGAGCTGACATTGGTTCACAAACTTTATAATTCAAAGCCTAGGCCTATCTCAAGTACCCTTTCACCAACTTCCTAATCAATGGGTGCTGTGATACCTAAATATGCTATACTATATCTCAATCTAGCTTGCATATATCTTTGTTCGATGTTCATACAAACCTGGTTCCTACTGTGACCTTCCACTAAGTTAGTTATCTGTGCTTCCAGATATCATACGAAGTAGATCTTCCTAAATTTGTTGCTTGGTGTTGCCTGCTTTGCTACTGGATATCACATGAGACATATCCTCCCAAATCTAGTAAGCTGCTAAGTTAAGTTGGTGTTGCCATATGATCTCATAAAACAGACTTACTCATACCTGTTTCATTGATCCTTCTGTACTCAAGACTTACTCGTATCTATTTCACTGATCTTTTCATACATAGATTTTCTTTTCTAGATCAGACGTTAACTGGTATGACTGTCAAAATCTATACTACTTCATCTAACTTGGGATTTCTACCATACAGGTCTCCTGTTCATAGATCCTATTAAGATTTATTCATGTAATATTACACCTTGTCGAATGCCCTGTCACACTTCCAATACCTCAATTAGCATTAGTGCAACATGATTTACAAGGTTACAACTTCAGAAATGAGCAGAGTTTACTATAAGTTAGATACAGATGTCTAGATAATTATTCAATTCTGTATACAGTGGGATTTGAACCCTAGGCCTCTTGCATAGCAGTCCAGCAACCTAACCACTACACTAAGATCACTAGACCAGAATAATAAGAATATTAAAAACAGTAAAAATAATAAAAATAATAAAAATAATAAAAATAGTAAAAATAGTAAGAATAGTAAAACTAGTCTATTTTTATTAATTATTCTTACTATTTGTTCTATTTGTTTTAAAGCTATTTTCTATTATAAACTCTTTGTAATTAAGATATATTTAAGAAACTATCTAAAGATAATAAACTATACTAATAATTTATAATAATAATTAAATAAATAAAACTCATTTTATTACAATAACAAAATTAAATAATAAAATATAAATAATAAAAATATATATAAAAACTTATTTTATAATATTTTTGTTTCTTTTAAAAATAAATATTATGAATTTTAACAAATTTTATAAGCTTAGTAAAATCTTCATTACTTAACTTTTCTAAGTTAGTAAATATTTTTTTTTTTTTTTTTTTTTTACTTGATAAACATGCCATCAGCAAGATTTTTATTGGTATAGATAGTTTTGAGCAA